CCTTTTAACGCATTTTTATTATTCCTTCATTACTTTTCTCATAGTTTTTCCAGCAATCAATCTTCTCACTTTCTGAAGAAAATATATTACATCTTTATATTTTATATGAACTTATTTTTGACATACATGAACAACTTTACTCAAAGAGATGCATTTTTAAATGTATAAATTTATTATATGCTTAAATAATTTTTAAATATAAGATAAACATTTATTTTCAAATACTCCTATATAAACATCTAGTATCGGAGAGATGAATTATACTTTTTCATGTATATTTATCATATCATTAAACTTAATTTAATAATCTTTTAAATATAATTTCAAAAAAATCTACATTTTGAGTTAACAGAATAAAAGCTATGGTGAATTAATGGCCTGTGTTTGTGGCCGGTCAATTATGGTTCAAAGGAGGAGGAGCCAACCCTTTGCATGGGGACTCCTATTGGACGATCGTTGCGTCTAAGAAGAGGAGGTGTGGTGCACAAGAGAAGCCCGACAATATCGGCCCATTGGCAGGCGCTGTAGCAGCGAATAGGACTGTAGAACAGAACTACTGTAGGCGATGACATTGTGGCCAAGGGTATACTATAGCTTGACAATCACTGTAGTAGAAGATTCAAAAAAAATCGCCTGTTTTTCAAAATTGTATTAATTTTCTTAAAAGGAAAATATTTTGAAATTCCAAACATTTTTGGAGATTGTGAACTTCTTTTTCAAAAGGCAAACATTTTTCTGAAAAACTCCCAATTCTTTTCGAAAGGGAAACATTTTTAGAATTTGTTCAAAAAAAATCCAAAAAGGACACAATTTTCATAATTTTTTGAAAGCATTATTTTCCTGAATTTGTCAACAAATTTTAAAAAGCGGGTAAATTTGAAAACATAGGAGTATTTTACAAAACTTTGATTTTTTTGAACACATGAACATTTTTCGAATTTCTGACCAATTATTAAAAAACCTTTTTTATAATTCCAAAGTCAAAACAAATATTTTTAATTTCCGACCCTTTTTGAAACAAAATTGAACTTGAAATGGAGAAGTAAAGAAAAATAATCCTGCTAATACTAAGTGAGTGTCAATTAGTATGGATCAAAGGGAGTAGAAAGGAAAAACAAATCGCATAATAGAAACAACAGGAAAAGCGACCAAAAAACCAAAACTGGATCAGACCGTAAACTTCTAAAAGATTGCTAAGACCGGGCAATCCTGTAGCATGTATTGGGTCGTCCGATGAGTGTGCTGCCCTAGCCGATTCTTTTGTTTGGAACCACAACAATTTGCTGCACATTGCTCAAAATGCAGGCAAAACGCGCACAAGCTTCGAGCGAGCAGCAAAACAGACTCTCAGGTTTGAGAACATTCTAGAAGGTTTTGATCTGGTTTTTAGTAGTTTTTGCTTTTTTCTCTTTGTCCTACTATTTCTTTTACTAGTTTTCTTTCTATTTTTACATTTTTTTCAAAAATGTTCCATGTTAAAATTATATCAAAAAATTAAGAATGTGTTTTGCATTTCAAAAAATATTGAGTGTTGTAAAAAATGCCCTTCAAATACTTTCAGAATTTTTAAATATGTTCTTGTCTCAAAAAAATTCAGAAATTAGAAAAATGGTCATATTAAAAGAAGTCATCTATACTAAAAATGTTCGTATTTGAAAAAAGGTGCAAGAATTTTGGATTTATTTTTTCCCTATCTAAGAATTTATTGATATTTTCTTAAATGTTCCAGTTTTCAAAAAAAATATCACAATCAAAACTTGTTCCTAAATTTAAGAAAAGAACCATGTATTGAAGGAAAACATCGGAAAGCGAAGGAAAAAATCAGTAAGCGGAGCACGTCAATCGATCGCAGTGCTATTGGACGCATCGAGCGTCCAACTGAAGCTTCCGTACCCTGTTAGCTGGGGCCGTTCGTTTTTTGTATTTTTTTTCATGATCGCAGTGCTATTAATTTTTTTTCAGAAATAAAAAATTCTGAATTTTATAAACATTTTTCACATCCGTGAACTTGTTTTGAATAGCATTCGCAAAGTTTTTTATATTTTTGGATTATTTAAATTATAAAAACAAAATTCAAATCTCTGATTTATTATTATTTTTTAAAATTGGTGAACTAACTCGAATATCTGAATATTTTGAAAATTTATAAACTTTATTCAAATTCACGAATGTTTTGCAAATTTTGTGATATTTATTTAAACTCATGAATATTTTCTCTAATTCATATTTTTTCTAAAAATTGTAGACGTTTTTTGAAGCCCATGTAAGTGCTTACTAATTTGAGAACTTTTTTCAATCAGTGAATTTTTTCAAAAGAGTGAACATTTTTTTTTCAAAATACACAATTTTTGATAAGGCCAACGATCTTCCATCTTGGTCAACGGTCACTCCTTGTGGCAAAAGTCAACCAGAAACCAGTGAGGATCGAACAAGCTGGCACCAATGCGAATCAAGCGAGCGAGTAAAGTCGTGGTATGGTATCGGGCCGCAACAGCCGAGCTAACGTTGTGAGCGCTCAAGCCATATAGGA